AGAACTTGGAGTTCTTCACTCGAGAGTCATACTTATCCCAACTGAAGAATTCCAATACGCCAAACCACATCCGTTGCATAGAATTTCTGAGATATGCAAAATGTTTCAACATATGATCCTAATCCAGAAATAAAATGCTTCCTTACAATCTACATTTACACAGCCAGTCTGCTGAGTATCTATTGCATCATAAAGATTAAGGAGAGATACAAAAATAAAATGATCTTGCATTTCCAACTGAAAATCATACTCAAAGGGTACACAGGCAACAGCTAGGCTACAGCACCTTCATGTGGGATCTCTGACTTGCACTTTGTGAACTTATGTCTTCATTTACCTTGTAATTTAAAGTAGTACGGCAACAAAATAAATTAATAAAAGAGGACATGAAGCCAACATTTCTCAATGATGAACAGGACTCAGTGGTACACAAGATCACAGGATAGTTACAAAGGAGAAAGGTTGTTTGCCACCTTAGCCTATCCATTCAGACAGACCCCACAGTTTCCTCCTATTGCCCACTCATTCAGTATCTTGTCAATGAAACTGCAAACATAAATTGCATATTTTCTGCAAAGTCAATCTCATAAGTAACTTATTTACACAGAATAGACAGACAAATGAAGAACGCTATATAGTGAAATTATACCCTTATTTATGAAGGAACTTTTAATTTGCCTGCACATAATGCACAGAAAGGATTTTACCCAACAACAAACTGAGGAATCCTCAATTAAATAAACTTAAATAAAAGGTCAGCCAGCTGGGCATCATGCAAAAGAATTCCCTGACTGCAGCCATTAATCTGGACCAATCAGGGAACCTTGGTTTATATAGAAAAAGGGTGAGTGTTAGGGATACTGACACTGTGTGAGGCAGCACTATAGTTAACGACTGCACTTGTGTAAATAAATGGTGACTTGATAACGGGATGCTGGTCTCTATAGAGTTATTTTGTAACTACATAAATCTTTTTTCTCAGTCACCAACTTATCAAATATACTACCACTGAGAACAGCAATTACAGAATCAGTGCCCATATTCAAAAATTAAATGCACTGAATTACTGATCGGTGGGAATTGAAGAGGCAAGGATTTGGACGTAGGGTTAAAAATGGGAACTCTTTACATAATAATGATTAGAATGTGGAACGCTATCCTGTTGTTAAAGCAGATTCCATAAACTCTTTCCAATTGAAGTCAGATTGTCACTTGAAAAGGAGGAATATTAAAATGCATAAGAGGAACTTGAAGGAGATTAAGACATGGTTAGGTGGCTGATTGCACAGATAAGCCAGAATAGGCTGCATTTGCTGAATGGCCAGTGTCTGTGAAGTAACTGTCTCTGATTTAGTATTTTCATGTCCTGAAATAGAACCTCAAAACACAAACAACTAAAGGTTTAAATGGCCGTTTCCTTTTCTTGTGCTGCAAAATATTCAATACAATGATAATTTTCAGCTGAAGAAATAACATATTAGAGTTTAAGATTATCTCTATTTGGGGCCAAAAGGGAAAGTAAAACTAGCAGGTGGTCATGAAACATCTTCAACATTAGTTCTTCAAAGTGCATCCCAAATCTCTCCGAGTGAAGCAAAACAGTGGTTGCAAAAGCCTCAAATAATATCCATTGATCAGTGATCAATAACCAACCAATCATTAGGTAGGACCAACTATCCATCACACAGAGGCACCAACTTTGTTAATATTCAGATAGTGTTGAGATAGATTAGAGGAAATATCTTTACACAGAAAGTCTCGAACGGGTCTGTATTTTTCCCACAGAGGATAATAAAAACCAAGACCATCTTTCAAGGGACAAGTTAAAATAAAAGAAGACTTCTAGAAGTTTATAAAATCATGAGGGGCATGGATAGGTTGAATAATCAAGGTCTTTTCCCCACAGTAGGGGAGTCTAAAACTAGACTGCATAGATTTAAGATGAGAGGGGAAAGATTTAAAAGTACCTAAAGGGCTATTTTTTTCACACAGAGGTTGGTGCATGTATGGAATGAGCTGCCAGAGGGAGTGGTGGAGGCTGGTATAACTACAACATTTAAAAGGCCATCTGCGTGGGGATATATATAAATAGGAAAGGTTTAGAAGGACATGGGCCAAATGCTGGCAAATGGGATTAGATTAATTTAGGATATCTGGTCAGCATGGATGAGTTGGGCCGAAGTGTCTGTTTTCACGCTGTACATCTCTGTGACTCTATGATTCTATATAGAGCTGCATTGAAAGGCAGTAGAATTAGTTGTAGATTATTTCAGTAAAGAGCCAACACACACAAAATGAGCCAATTCTTTCCATTTAGTGCTGCAAACCTCCACAGCTCTATGAATAACGGAATAGCATTGAAAACAGCATGAATACAGGCAACTATTCTGCAGGAGCATTTTGGTGAAATTTCACTCTCTTGTTCACTCCCACACTCATAATCATTCTCTTTATCAACTAGTTCCCTGTTAGAAGAATCTATGGTCTCTGCAATAGATTCCACACTCTTACTACCCTCTGCGTAAAGATTATTTCCTGACAAGCCCTTGTGTCCTTTGTGATAATTGTACATTGCGGATTTAAATCCTGGATGAAAGCCACAGATGACACACACCGACATTCAATATAACCACACCTTTGCATTCAAAACTCATAGTGTGACATTAACGCTTTCGTATGAAAGTGCTTCGTATGCGACTTAAATTAGGGTGGCGACCACTTCATTTAAGGAGGTTAATGACTTCATAAAATTTAGCAAATATAGAAATTCCATACAATAAGCAATTCTATGCTTTCTAAAAACAGTATGAATCCAATTAACTCATTATTGAGTTTAATAAGATGAAGAAAGACACTATACTTCCTGCATAATTCTTTGTATAATTAAATTCTTTTTGTTTGCAGCTGAATGAAGGTTTGCAGAGTTTTAGCTGCAAGACAATAAACCCCTTTATTTTGCCACAATCTTGCAGATCACTCTTTATTTTGTAAGATTACTGCGACTTTAAATCAGAACAAGTGTACTCACCTTCTCTTGCCACTTCCAATGTGATTGCTGCTGCCTAATTCACCCCGGACAGGAAACTCCTCTCTACTGGCCACTTCTACCACTTCTCTGATGATGACAAATTTCTTTTGTGCAATTTACTAGCATCAGATCTGACCCAGACTATAAGAACATAAGAAGAACTAGGAGCAGGAATAGGCCATCTGGCCCCTCGAGCCTGCCCCGCCATTTAATAAGATCATGGCTGATCTTTTTGAGACTCAGCTCCACTTATCCGCCCACTCACCATAACCCTTAATTCCTTTACTGTTCAAAAATTTATCTAGTCTTGCCTTAAAAACATTCAGCGAGGTAGCTTCAACCGCTTCACTGGGCAGGGAATTCCACAGATTCACAACCGTTTGGGTGAAGAAGTTCCTCCTGACCTCAGTCCTATATCTGCTTCCCTTTACTTTGGGGCGATGCCCTCTAGTCCTAGTTTCACCTGCTAGCGGAAACAACCTCCCTGCCTCCACCTTATCGATTCCCTTCATAATCTTATATGTTTCTATAAGATCTCCCCTCATTCTTCTGAATTCCAATGAGTATAATCCCAGCCTACTCAGTCTCTCCTCATAATCCAACCCTCTCAACTCAGGAATCAACTGAGTGAATCTCCTCTGCACGCCCTCCAGTGCTAGTATATCTCTTCTCAAGTAAGGACACCAAAACTGCACACAATACTCCAGGTGTGGCCTCACCAGTACCCTATACAGCTACAGCATAGCCTCCCTGTTTTTAAACTCCGTCCCTCTAACAATGGCAGACAAAATTCCATTTGCCTTTTTAATTACCTGCTGCACCTGCAATCCCACCTTCAGCGATTCATGCACAAGGACACCCAAGTCCCTCTGCACAGCAGCGTGCTGCAATTTTTTTACCATTTAAAACATAGTCCATTTTCCTGTTATTCCTACCAAAATGGATAACCTCACACTTATCAACATTGTACTCCATCTGCCAGACCTTTGCCCACTCACTTAGACTATCTATATCCCTCTGCAGACTTTCAGTGTCTTCTGCACACTTTGCTCTACCACTTACCTTAGTGTCATCTGCAAATTTTGACATACCACACTTAGTCCCCAACTCCAAATCATCTATGTAAATTGTAAACAATTGCGGTCCCAACACTGATCCCTGAGGCACACTACTAGCCACTGATCGCCAACCAGAAAAACACCCATTTACCCCTACTCTTTGCTTTCTAGTGGTCAACCAATCTCTATCCATGCCAATACATTATCTGTAATACCGTGCAACTTTATCTTATGTAGTAGTCTTTGGTGTGGCACCTTGTCAAATGCCTTCCAGAAATCCAGATACACCACATCCACAGGTTCTCCATTGTCCACCATTAGGTTCATTTAATATATCACGTGCAAAGAGTTCATTATTATCGAACTTTAACAAGGTAAGTAATGCTTTCAAAATTTAAGGCTGATTCACTCCACATTTGTGCTCATGACACATTTTTACATCAAGTTGACTTTGGAAAATAGCTTGCCAATCTTTGCTACCAATATCCATTGGACCATAATCATCGTTTGCTAAATGCGACAGAAATACACCCTGGGGAAATTTGCTGATTTTAAAGTGTTTTGAATTGGACTTACATGGATTTGCTGAAAAAAATAGACAGCTTGCCAAACATGGTAAAGAGCCATGGCCACAAAGCACCTTAAGCATCTCTTTCTCCATTAGTAGTTATGTGTAGTTTGAAGGTGACCCACTCCACAAGTGTTGGGTAAGGTGAGGAGGTAGGACCTCCATGAACTACCACAGCTGGAATACAGCCCATGCTGTTGCTCTAGTTCTGCACAACACTCCAGTCATTTAGCCAATGAAGCTAGCTTAATCCCGCTTACTAAACATTGCACTGACGTTGTTCAATCTCTAACAAGTAGTGCAGCATGTTAACCTTCATCACGCAAAAAGAGAATCGCTCACTCACCACAAGATGCTGAAAGAGCCAGGAGCGCATGATGTTAGTGGCGTGTTTGGGCAGGACACCACGTTTAGTCTTTGACTTCTTGTCCTCTCCATCCTGTAGGAGAGAGGTGAGCTCCAGATTCACCTATATTTGCAGAGAAAGGAAGGAAAGGAAGAAAGGCACTTATCACAATAGCCGGGTTCTGGTAAGGAAAGCCCTGTTCTACTTCCAATCACACATGCATACTTCCCCCATTTGATCTCCCATTTCCAATGGCACCAACTGTCCATTAGCTTGGGCCCCCAACTGGCACATTAGGGAAGGCAATTCTAGGTTAATTTTCAACCAAGTAAAAAGACAATGCCATGGTCAAATTTCAACCTGTCCCCAGAATGTTGGCCTGGGCTTCGGGGTTACTAGTCCAGTGACATTAGTACTACGTTATTGTCTCTCACCCGATTGGGTGGGTTAGAGATAACAAGGTGTAGCGCTGGATG